AGCCTAAGCCTTGGAGATTTAGGATAGCTGTAACTCAATGAGAACTGCTACCTATAACCGAAGTAGAACCACATTATGCGACTTACAGGGGTACACCCTAGGGATCCAAGTATACAAGTAATACCTACATTGGGCCCGGAAGTCTGCAAATATTACCTACATTGAGCTAGTTGGATCCCAATACATCCCTATAAACCCCTAGTTTCCATTTCATTTTCCATTTGATTCTCCATTATTAGGGGAGTGCAAACTGGTTTATAGCCACCCTGCAAGAAATTGTTGCACCTCTACAACTCGAGGAGCCAGCTGCGGCCTGGCACATGGCTTAGGGTGCCTTTCAAGGGGCTATAGGTATACATACATATATCTATATACAGGGACATATCTAGGGATATCTATATCTGTGTATGTAAAGAGGGAAACATAAAGGGATATGATATCTGAGTCAAGATTCTTGTCTCATCAACGCTGTCAAGTTGTTTTGGCAGATTGCGGATTCTGAGTTGCGAGGCGCTGGCTTTGGCAGCTCATAGTCGGTCGGGGGTGGTGTTTCACTGGGGATATATACTGATATATGTGCATATGTGTACATCTATATATACATATATATGTATATATACATATGTATATACATATCTATATATATATATGTATGTAACTATCTATCTATCCAGGGAAATACTGCTTGCGGCATGCACACGTGAAGGGCCTACAAACCGAATCCCGCGCTGATGCCAAACATGCCACGCAGGGCTTCTCCGCAAAGATGACTTTGGCGTTGGAGGGCCCAACTGAGTCAGAGAGTTTACGAGCTCAGGGCTTATGGGTCTTGTGCCATGGCCTCAGGCGGCCGTCCAGCAGTGAGCAAACACCCCTCTTGCAGGCACCGCAGATGCTACACAACATGCATGATATTGATATCTGAAATCGTCCGCGTTTCTGTCCCTGGTATCCAATCCGCAAGCTGTTTTGCATTGAGCTGAGGCGATGGGTCTGTAAGCGCCCTGCGCCCAGGCTTCCGGCCAGTGCTGCCAAAGTTTTTGGGCTCCTCCCCAACAGCACCACAAAGGTGCACAAGGACTTTCAAGCGGTTGTCTAGGAATCTAGGCGTTATCTGGAGATCAGTTAGTGAGCACTGTACATTGGGATTGGAAGATTTTGCAGACTACCCAACGTCAGGGGGCCCATCTATGGCGAAGGTGCTGGGGAGTCGCGAGTTTTCGAACGGCTCGACCAGGCCGTGTCCATGTTCCAAAATCTAAGCTGAGAGAGGTTAGGAGACGCAGTAGGGCTGCAAGTCAACAACCGCTCGACGGACATGCAAGAAATTGAGAACTTGACGTGGTGTCAAGCGTGACCTGCTACAGGCGATTCTGAGGCCGCCTTTGTTTGTAGCTGCTGAAGTCAGCCCACACAAGAAAGAACAAAAACAGAAGAGCCTGTGAGCTTGTACACTTGCCATGACGTCCGCTGCCACTCCACGCGTCGGGCAGTCTTAAAACAGGTAATGTCGCAAGCTGTTGCGAAACCAGTGCATCCTGTCTTACACTCACGCGTCCCAACCTCAACAACTACTCTCTTGAGGATGAAAGCTTTGTTCCGAGCTTTGTACATGGTAGGGTAACTTCAAAAGGTCTCTTTGCGATTCCACCAGACTACATCACAAAGACATTGAATCATCCCCTAGTGCAAGCAAAGAAGGAGTGTCCGGCGCGCCACCCGGTGAACTCGAGGGATTCTGCGGGATCTGGGCCCGGCAGACATGATTTAAAAAAGTCTCCCGGCTTGGGAGCAGCAGTGTTTCAGTTAGACTTAGACTAACAGCTGGAGGATTTAGGTTGTGCTTCCTGACAATTCTCTACTTGAAGCCTCCGGTGAGCTGCAGGCTTAGGATTACACATGATAGTTTACCTAAATAGGGGGATCCTAATATAGACCCCAAAAGACTACAACCCTTGTTCCAAGTACCCCCAAAACGGTGTCCCTAGCTTTGGGAAACCCCATTTAGGTTTTGGCTCAGCCAAGGGAGAGGGAGAGCAGGCCGTCGAACTGGTTCCCATCTGACTGCTGATCTGCTAATAGACATCCTCGTTAGTGGTCAGGAATGTCGAAGGTACAAAAAATATCAGGGACAATAGGATATAATCTGATAACTTGGATTTTCTGTGTTTTTTCTGCAACCTCTGAGAGCCTATGAACTCCTATATAACCGTGGTGTCCATTTAATGGTTCATGTTCTTTTGCGTTTGATTCTCCAAAAGTCCCCATATTGATATATTATATCACCATGTAAGCCTATAAAGCTCCACCTTTGAAGCTGCGTCACAATATATACAACTCCATTACCAAAGGGTTGATTGCGTCAGCCATGTGACAGGGGGATGGATATCTTACTGATGATTCGGAGTCTCCAAGAATGAGGGGATCTGGCTTACCCTGACCTCCCAAATAAGGATCCTACACCTCTGAAATCACTTGCGTGACAATTTCTGGGATCTTGGCACTCCTAACAAGCCCTGGTAAGATTCATCAGGAAAAGCTTTCACTCAAACTGCCTCTAATTGTAGGAAAATTCGTTTGGAAGAAGTATGAGGGATTCTTCAATGGCACGCCGAAGCTACCAAATGGCAGGATCTCAGTTATGGTCCCCTTGGACCATGAGCTCTTATTTGTTCCTTCTGATGGATGCAATGGTGATCCAGAGCAGTGTAGCGGACCACCCTCCAATCGATGTCTAGCTTAGGTGGACCCCCCACCCAGTAATAGTGACTATAAAGGATAATGGGGATCATATTAGGGTCCTCTTATATTCTTATTATACCACTGTTACTGGGTGGGGGGTCCTCCTCATGTCTAGCATCAAAACTGTAAGCCTTTGCAGGCCAAGTGTCTTGCTGCACAGGAAAGACGTTGCACGTCGCACACAGCCTACCTCAGCCTAAGGACATATAGCACGAATAATAGTAATAATAAAAGTCACAATAAGAAGAGTAGTAATAAGTAACAGTAATAGCAATAGTACCAATAATAGTGAAAACAAAAATCGTAACAACAATCATAGTAAAGATAAAACATATGTACACTCAAAATTGCAGGCCCGGGCTGTAGCCTTGGAGCTGCACTCTGTGGAGCCCCAAGGCCACACATCAGGCTCATTGTTCACCCTCCTTTCATCTTGGGAGCGTCAGCAGGGTCAGAGTTTTGCAGGTTGGTCTTGTGCAGCTCTTAGGACTCAGGACTTAGATGTTTTGCTGACTTGCTGAAGTCTTCCGACGTTGGAGGGAACTTCCTAATTTGTAAAACCAGAGTCGGCACCATGCTGGCCTCAGCTGACCGCTTTGGTCAACCCTATAGCCAAACATGCACGACTGGAGCTAATTGTAAGTAGATGACTCGCTTTCAAACACCCAAGGGTACACTTAAGGAAGCCTACGCCTGCACGTGGCCGGCTCGGCCAACCCTGGCAGCGTGTAGCCCTGGTCGCGTAGGTTTTGGCGGATGAGCTTCTTGTCGATCTTGCCACTACCCGTCATTGGGATGGCCTCCGCTGCATAGTGTGAAGGCACTGATGCTTGAAGCTTAACCCTCCGAATGGGAATCCGAAGTGCAATCCAAACACAAGACCAAGAACGTCAGGATCAAATAGAGGCATGGAGGAGATGTGTCAGAATGATGGGCTGTTGCAGGTGAGGTATGATTTCAGCGCGTGACTGACAACATATTTTGCGCAAGACTAGACAACTTCTGCTGTCAACACGCAGCACGCCCCAACAAAGCAACGCGGTGGACCCTGAAGTACCCATCTTCACTCTGAATTCTCATTGGTACTGGTACTAGCTCTATTTCTCGCAGTCGACAGAGCGGGTCTCCGAGCTTCCGAGCTCGACCCGTTTGGAGCAGGAAGACGATAGACATCTCAATGGCTGCATCCCCTAATATGCATATACATAAAGATAGATAGATGGATAGACAGATAGATGGATATACATTTAGATATTTTCTCCGCCTCAAAAGATTCATGTTAAGACGTCCTTGACTCTGGGTGCACATGCTTGAAAGTTAAACCATATTCTTGATAATTCCTAGGCCCAGCTCCCAACTAGGGGTGGGACTGTGAAGGATTGGTTTCAAGGCCTCTCAAATGAGGACGTCGTCGGGAAGCTGCATCTTGGCGAAGTTGCTCAAACAGTGGGATCGTAGCTTCTCCTCGGTTCAGCTTGAATCTGCCCAAGAAGCCCTGCAACCTGCATAGTGGGTTGAGGCCACCTCTGTGCCTAGGCCCTCAATATACCCCCTATACCCTAAATTAACGACCTAAATCAGTGACCATATGCCCCTATTTAAGGGTAGAAGGAAGGTCATGATACTTTATCTACATCCCACAACCTTCTGTTTCTTGGAACCTGGGCTTCTGGGGGAGTGTCGTCCCAGAATCTTCCCGCGGAGCAATCAAGGCCTTTGCGGACTGGATATTGAGGCCTGTAGTACTATAGCCTACCCCCAGGTATGACCATTTTCTAATCCTGAACCAACCCTAAAAGAGAAAACGCCCAACATCATAACAGTTTCTGAGCTCTGTAAGTATCTGCCCTAGACCGCTGCGCTCCTACATACAGCACAAGCGCTCAGCTGCGCGACTGAGAAACAAGGTTGCCTGCGCTCGAACCCTGGCTCCCGGTGGAGCCAGAGCACAAGCAATCGTGAAATCCTGAATCTTCAAGCCCAATACTTACCCTAGGGATGCAAGTACACAAATTATACCTACGTTGGGCCCTAAAGTCTGTACATATCACCTATACTGGGCTATTTGGGTCCTTAGGGTTACCATGCAGGTAACAACCTGAAAGCCGAAGCTCAAGCAAGTTCGACTTCACCGGGACTTCCGCCGTCGGTTGTAGCTTGACGATGGCCACTGGCCTGCTTTTACAGTTCGGGCTTAGGTTGTTTTTGGCGGCCAAGTGGCCTTGCTTCGCTGTGTCCCGACTGAAGTCTTTTGGGGTCTAGGGTTTGGGTCCTTTTTTTGTCAGATTCTGCGCTTCTGCATACTGCGATTGTAAGAGCCGGTCCAGCCTCTCCTCCCAACGAGGATGGTAGGCGGCCACCACAGCTGCCTGCGCAACCTGGCTTTCAGGCCTTGTATCTAAGGACGTCTACTTACCTCTTGTCTGTTAGGAAATTTGTGTGCCCTAGAAACAAGCATGGGATGGCTTTCAGGTTCTGCTAGCATTTTATGATGGTCCTAACCCTAGCAAGTATAGATGCATCCGTGTTTAGGGGCTCAGGTGCAAACATTCTTGAATGCCTAGGAAGTAATTTGAGTTCATGGGCGACAGGCCTCCGGCAAAGCGGCGATGTGGTTTTCCATGTCGATGGAAGAAATCCACTCACCACCCGACTTGATCACATCCTTGGAGCGGTCAGTGAGGACGACAGCGCCATCATGGTCGACCTTTGCCACATCCCCAGTGATGAGCCATCCTTTGTGGAATTTGTCGGCAGCATCTTCGTGAAAGTATTCACCGATTACCCAGGGACCACGGCAAAGTAGCTCCCCAGGCTGGTTGCGGGGTAGCTCCTCGTCCAAGTTCTCTGGGTTCACCACGCGGATCTCAAAGCCTTCGAAAGGAATAGCATTCAGGCCTTTCTGGGATGGGTGCGGTGGGTATGCACTGCTTAGTCGGGAGAATCTCCCCTCAACACACGATTCATACACATACGATCAAGTTCCAATATGACATGACACCAGGTATACTAAGAAACTACACAAGATACTACTTGGAAACCTGCAAACTCCGGCGAATCCTTTACAATCTACCCCGGAACCCAAACAACCAGAAATGACATGGTTACATCCAAACGAGCACTTTCTTTGGCACTAGGACCCTGATCTACAGAAAGTGGTTGCTTGGGAACACCTCTTTCCCTTCTGGCTTTTTGGGTTCCCAGGTAAGGCCCTCTGCATTGCTTCTTGGGGGGCTACGTATTCTAATCATATCAAACCCAAAAAGCAACTACATTGGAGGGTCCAGACACGCTCCCTTTGTGAACTTTTTGTGGATTTCTACAGGCCTGGCATGGGAAGGCCAGCCTTTGCCACGTTGCTGAGCAAGGTGGCTGGGCTGGCCGTCAAATCCTGATACTTGGCCACCTGCCCGCGTGGGAAATGGAAAAGCTGAGGGGGGCTACCAGCGGCTACCATTGCCACCATTTAGGTTCAGGGTTTAGGGATTGCTCTAGTCACGTGGAAAGCGGAAAAAGCTAAGGGGAAAGCATGGAAACTGTGGATTTAAAGGGATATATAGGGCTTAAGCTTTAGGGTTAAGT